TACCATACAAAAGTTTTGTGAAATGGTATCAGTTTCACTCAGTACCAGGCCAGTTCCCTTCCGTAGGAGTCTTGGTGGCACTGCCAGATCAGCCTCAGAAAGCCCCATAGGAGGGCTATGGGCTAGAATCAACTCAAAGGCAGTGGGTTTCGTTCCCATCCACCGTGGCACTAACTTTTCCTTGTGGCCGGTCTGCTCAGCATCTAGGGGGCTTTGCTCTGGACAATGGTTTTCCCTACCAGCGGCCCTCTCTGTGCTGAATTTCAGTGGCCCAGCAGATCCCCTCAGAAGTCCCTGTAATGACTGGCCCTTACTCTCTGGATCATATTATACATGCAAGACTAATTCCTGGCTACACTTTGTTCCACAAAAGTGTCTTCATCAGCTTTGGTCTTGCTTAGATGACCTACGAAAAAGACAACCATCAAGCTGAAAGCCTCTTGCGGCCATGACGTTTGCTTAAAATGGAAAATCACAAACAGGTGAGATCCCAACTTCAGTCGCTCCCACTTCAATGTGTTGATGCTACAGGCTTTTCCCACCAGCTTCTGGGTCTCAGCCACAGTTCCTTAAATCATTGAGGCTGACAATCTTCCCTCTTGGCTCATCTTTGAGGTCTTCTGGTCTTCCTTAAAGATGCTTGGTCCATCTGAAAGCTGTAGTTTCATGTGGGGCAACATTCCCTCTACGCTTGCTGGAAAGCTTCAATGATTTTGGAAGATGTCCAATGCATAGCACCTATATTAATGTACAGTATAGGATAATAGTACAAAACTATTTAAGAGAAATGTACAGAAAGGCAAATCTAGAGAGACTAGGAAAGCAGCCTTCGTGGGTGGTGAAGGTCAGCCGTTTGAACTGACCAGATGCTCCAGGGAAGAAAGATGAGACTTTCTGCTCCCATGAAGATTTACCGCCTCTATCGGAAACCAGGACAGACACCAATACAGAGGAGGCACAAATTGACCAGTGGGACATACTGAAGATAAAACCCCTGTGTACATCGAAAGAATTCGCCGAGAGAGTAATAAGAGAGACCACAGAATGGGAAAACATCTTTAGCAATGACACATCAGACAAAGGCCTTATTACTAAAAT